AAGTGCAGCAGGATCATGATGGGGAAACCTGCAGAGACGACCAAACTAAACTAGTGGGAACTCATGAAAGTTGGATCCACGGATGCAGAGCCTGCATGGGACTGGACTAGGCCCTCTGCATGGTGAGACAATAGTGTAGCTTGATCTGCTTTGGGGGGCCCCTTGGCAGTAGGATCAGGATCCATCCCTGGTGCATGAGGGGGCTTTTTGGAGCCACTACCTCTGATGGGACACCTTGTGCAGCCTTGAGGCAGGAAGAGGGGCTTGGACTTGCCTCTACTAGATGTGCTTCCCCATAGGAGGTCTTGCCTTTTTGTGGGGGGGGGTAGCTGGGGAGTGGGAGGAGGTAAGAGGGGGATCTTTGATGTGTAAAATAAATAACATTTTTTCTTAATAAAAAACAAAGAAGAGAAGAGATTTCATATTCTTACATGTGTGTTGAAACCTTATGTCTAGGTTGTTAATTTATTAATGTGATAAAACACTGAAGACTGGGAAAACATTGAAGTTGGGGAAGATGAGAGTTTACCTAACTTCAGGTTACAGTCCTCCATGAAGGGAAGCTGAGGCAGGAAGCTGGAGGTGGGAGCTGAAACAGAGGCCATGGAGGAGTGCTGCTTACTGGCTTGCTCCTCATGACTTGCCCAGTTTGCTTTCTTGTACAACCCAGGACCATCTGCCCCGGAGTGGTACTGCCTGCCATGGTCTGGGTCCTCCCATGTCAATCTTTAATCAGGGAAACGCCCCCCAGAAACACCCACAAGCTAGTCTGATGAAAGGCAATTCCTCAGTTGAAGTTTCTTCTTCCCAGGTAACTCGAGTTTGTATCAAGTTTGCAAAAACTGACCAGCACACCTTAGCCCAAATCCTATCGTGAGAACCTAGGAGAGACTGCACACAGTCTCCCAGCCAATCCGGAGGCAATTCTGCTCTTCTTTACAAACTGCACTCTTAGGGTAAAGCTGTCCCTGCTTCCGGTAAGCCACCTATGGTCTATAGCCAATGCAGCCAATGATCAACTTGCGCTGACCACTTCAAAGTCACTTTATAACATACTTTGACTTTCTAGATCCAACAGACCTTTTACTGGCCGATACCATGTCTTGCTCCAGGGACATAGCAGGAGAACTTGCTGGACCAGCCTCACCAGCCTTTCCTCCCTGGCTAACTTCTGTAACAGTTCAATAAACTCTTTCATTTAGTCTCAGGAGTTTGGGTTTAGCATTCCATTTCAAACAGTAGCCAATACTGTATTCTCTACAAAAATTCTGCTTGTAATTAGTTTTATTCCACTTGAAATGTTTTGTTCTAGCCCTCAGAAATGCACTCAAATATTTTTTTGTCCTTAATTGAGGCTATAAAGCATCTCATCACTATTAAATCTTAAGATATTGTCTAAAAGTTTACATCTCATTCTTGGTAACCATCTGCACAACCGGCCAGTTTCCTTCCATTTTCTCTTACAAAGAAGTTTCAGTCTTCAGTAACATGGGGTAAACACTGGGCACGTTTTGAAGTTCTTCAACGTCTTGTCTGAATTCTTGGCTCCCAGACCATAGTGCCTTCTTACATTATTGCTGATGTGTGTTGCCCAGAGTTCTTCCAGGTTTATCATTACCCTTCTATACCCTTCTTTTCCCATGGGAGTAGGAAAACTACAAATGCATTTCCCAGAATTCCTTGCAAGCTGGCATCCGGGGCATACAAGACATGAAGGTTTGGGGAAAACAGAGCTCTTTGTTGTTGTTGTTGTTTTGTTTTGTTTTGTTTTGTTTTTCTTCCCTTAACTTCCTTTATCTCTATTAGTAGCTGCAGCAGTAGAGACAGCAGCAGTGGTGACAGCCGTCATATCAGCAATTAGGGCCTGAAGACGGAAGCAACTATATGTGGTAACTGTCGGAGCATCGGAGCTCTCTTCTATTCAAGGTAGTTTAGTGTAATAGCTTAGTAATGGCTAGGGTAATAGCTAGGATAACCCAGTCTTGCCTTGTTTTATCCCAGCTGCTATTTCTATAACGTACTGCCTTAGATAAACACCTTCATTATCAAACACCTGTATCTGTTAGTATTTCCCTGACTGGGCATGACAGCACACTGTAATGAGTGAACAAGTGTGTACAACATCCGCTGATGTGGTGTGCCCTGAAAGTTGTCATATTCTGGAAAAACATCCAAGGATGTAGATCAAGACTCAGTGGGCAATCTCAGCTCTGCACACAACAGTTCTTTATCTCCCAGGAGAGAATGGGCAAACCCTCAGGTCCTGTGTGAGGCTTCATGTTCTCCGCCGGCGTTGACTGATCTCGTCTCTACCATCCATGCTCATTTCCAGAAGGAATGTAATTCAAATTATTGACAAGAGTTGCAAACCTTTAAGTCTGTGGAACGCTTTCATCTTTAAGGTGTGCGATTCAATGCTCTTATCTCCTGAAGCCTTTTCTTCCCTTCGGCCAAAGAATTTTCCACCCATGCTTTCTTCTGAGATCTCTGCTTTTGTTTTCCCTCAAACTCTTTCTCTTTGCAGATAAATTGTATTCACGGTGCCTTTTTAATTCATTCCTTCATATGTGACAGTTTTTAATTGATTTTTAGTAGGTATATAAAATAAGTTGATGATATTTAATACATGTGGATTATTGTAATTCATTCATTTGCCTCCCTTGCCATCTCTTGTCACCTTTCACCTCTTACCAGTGCTGTCTCTCCCTGCAAATGTCCCCCTTTTTATTTTCATGTCTTTCATATATATATACACACACACATATATATATACATATATATGTATGTATATAGCCAAGCTTCACATGTGAGAGAAAGCATGTCTTTTTTATTCTTTCTGACTGTCCTCTCCTTCTCCCCACTCTAATTCTTTATCAAATATATGTATGTATATACACATATATGTACACACATATATTTGCTATATAATGAAAAAAACATGATGTTTATATTTCTGAGTCTGTCTAAGTTTGCTTAACCTAATCTCTAGTTTCACCCATTTTCCTGCAAAATGAAATGGTTTCAGTCTTCTTTATTGTGGAAAATAATCCATTGAATATATGCACATTTTAAAAATTCATTCATCTGTTCATCTATATGTATGTTGGTTCTGTACCTTGGCTATGTCAATAATGCTGGAGGGAGCTGGAAGAGAGAATGGGAGTCAGTCAGAAAATGATATATGAAAAATACATTAAAAATAGGATACTTAGCCGGGCGGTGGTGGCACACGCCTTTAATCCCAGTACTCGGGAGGCAGAGCCAGGCGGATCTCTGTGAGTTCGAGGCCAGCCTGGGCTACCAAGTGAGCTCCAGGAAAGGCGCAAAGCCACGCAGAGAAACCCTGTCTCCAAAAACCAAAAAAAAAAAAAAAAAAATAGGATACTTGGTGAGTATCCTAAATATTTATCCTTATAATCACAGATATATGGAGTTCTCACGACTCATCGGAAAAGCTGTTTGCAGTAAGTAGAGACAACTGCAGAAATCTACAGTTGGTCAAAATGCAGAAAACAGCTGGCCACGGGGTGCCCAGCAGCTGCTGGTGTAGGTATAGCACAACCTCTACTGCCGAGGCTCGGGTGATGTCGCAGAACGGAGCCCAGGACGATTGTAAGGGCCAGAGGACCAGCAAGCCTGTTCCAAGACTGTGCCTTCTAGAAATGACAGGGCAACTCCATGTCCGAAAGCTTAAACAAAACCTTAACACTGGCCTCAGCAGCTGACATGCCAGTGTGGCTGGGTAAAATCTCATGGGCCCCAACCCTAGACAAGAAGCTAAAATCCTATAGAGGAATGTCTCCATTTCCCCTTAATTTATAGGACTTTACTGGATATCTGAATCTTGGTTGGCAGTTATTCCCTCTCAGGGCTCAGAGTCTAGCATCCCACACTATTCTAAGTCCCGGCTGGCTTGGGAGTTTCAGTTGTGATCTCATTCATTCTTGGGTTTCATCTTTTGGAGGTGAATTGGCCTTTTCCCCTCACAGGTTTAACGCTGTTTATTTGCTTCACAGTTTTGATGTCTTGACTGTAACAGAGGTTCTTCTCTGGTCATGGCTACTTGAGGCTATAAATGCCCCTTATGTTTAAATGTCCATTTTCATCCCTAGACTGAGGGGTGTTTTTTTTTTTTTGCTATAGTTTTATTAAATATATTTCCTATGCTTTTAGTTTTCACCTCAGCTTCTTCATCTACTCTGTGAATTCTTAGGTTTGCTTTCTAGGTTGTATTTCAGAATTATGAAAGTAAATTATGTGGTAATTAAAATAAAGCACTAGTGTCTAAGTACTTCTAGAAATTAAAAAGACAAGAATAAATAAATATAATACTTCTTCCCCCGCCCCATTTCTGGCATTTTTCCTTCTACTTGATGATGATTTCCACTGTGATTTTTAATTTGGGTCCTTGAAGTTTGCATTTCCAATATTTCTTTTTAAATATATACTATTTTAATTAACTCAGAATTTCATCCATGCATGCAATCTATTTTGATCATATTTTCTCTGCTCTTTCCAACTCCTCCCAGATGTGTCCTCTAATCCTGTCTCCTCCCAATTCCATGTCCTGTTTTATCATAGCCCCCGAGTCTTCATGCTGCCCATGTCCTCCTACATGCAAGGGCATCTACTGGAGCATAACTGACTTACCAAGGGTCACACACGAAGGAAAATGGACTCTCCCTGCCCCAGACACCATCCATTGTCAATAGCGCCTCAGCTAGGAGTGGGGCTCCTGAGCCCCTCTCCCCTCCATACTGGAATGTTGTTGACTGATTTTATCTCATGCAGTTATTTTGCAGGCAAACAGCCACTGTGAGTCCATGGATGCATTGTCCTGGCATGTCTAGAAGACACTGTTTTGCCCTTGTCCTCTCTGGCCTCCTGTTCCATGATGGTCCCGGGCTTTAAGGAACAGAGGATATAGATGCCCCATTATGTCTGAGCATGCCATGGGCGCTTATCCTCTACACTTTGGTAAGTTGCAAGTTTCTGCACTAACGGCCTTCCACTGCACGACAAAGCTTCCCTGATGGATTCTGAGGACAGCCCTACTCTGTGGGTACAGAGATACACATTTAGAAGGCAGCTTGATATTGTGTTCATTTAGCACAATGATAGGACTAGACTCTCACTTCTGGGGCCTGTGAGTTTGCCAGCCATGATGTCTTGGCCAGATTTACAGTACCAGATATGGGTTTCCTCCTGTGGTATGGCCTTAAAATCCAATTAGAAAACAGTTGGCTACTCCCCTAACATTCATGCTGCTATGGCACCAATGGGCATATCTTGCCATGTCAGTCATTATTGTAACTCATAGGGTTCACAGCTAGGTACGACTGTTGCTCCTGGTCAGTACCAACTTGATTTTTTCCCCATGTCCTATGACTAAAGTATTTGATGTCTTTACAATAAGGTCTTATCATGCAGCTCTTGTGAGCAATCAACAGCAATGACAGTTCCCTGTACTGTTTCAGGGGTCTTAGGACACCTGCACCCAATAACTTGAGGGAATGTATCTCACACCTGACACTGGACTTTTACACACTATTCCCTATGTAAGGTAGCTCCAATGTATGCGTGTGTGTGTGCACGCGTGCGTGCGTGCGTTCATGTGTGTGTGTGTGTGTGTATGTGTATGTGTGTGTGTGTGTGTGTTTATGTGTGTGTGTGCATATATGGCCTATAGGGCTTTTTAAATCACTCTCAATGTTAGTAATTTTCCTCCAACACCTTCCTCTTCCCTATCCTCCCATCCCTCTCCCCATTTAAATTTATCTCCCCATCAGTATTCCCTCTTCCCCCTTCATACCACTGTCTTCTGTCTTCCCCCTCTCCACAAATGGTCTCTTTCTAGTTCCCTAGCTTCTAATGGTACTCAAAATAAAAAAAAAAAAAACAACCCTAAAGAATCAAAGTTAGGGTCCACATATGAGTTAGAACACACAGTACTTTTCTTTCTGGGTCTGGGTGACCTTATTCAGTAGAATGTTTTCCAGTTCCATCCCTCCACTTTCTTAATTTCATTTTCTTTATAGCTGAATAAAATCCCATCATGTATAGGTGCTGTGTTGATGTGAATGAGAAATGGCCCCCATAGCCTCATCATTTGAACACTTGACCCCCGGTTGGTGGTGCTGTTTGGGAAGATTATGGGGCTTTTAGGAAGTGGAGCCTTGCTGGGGGAAATCTGTCACCGGGAGACAGCTTTGAGAGTTTATAGTCTTGCTCCTCTTCGTGTTCTTTCTGACACCTGTGGGAGAAACGTGATTAGCCAGGCGTTTGCTCCCGCTGTCACGCCTTCCCAGCCTGCCGCCATGCCTTCCCGGCCTTGATGGACTCCATCCTACTGGAATCCTTTCTTCCTTACGCTGCTTTGGTCAGAGTGCTCTGTCTCAGCAGCGGAGACATAACGAATACTGCCTCCACATTTTCTTCAGCTGGTAGACATCGAGGCTGTTTCTGTGTCTTTGTTCTTGTGAAGAGAACAGTGATGAACAGGGGTGAGTGCGTAGCTCTGCTGTACCAAGTAGGGTTCTTCGGCCCAGGTCCAGGAGTGCTGTAGCTGGGTCGCATGGTAGATCTCTGTCTAGATGTTTAGAAAGCACCACGCTGATTTCTACAGAGGCTGTCCCTCTGCTGGAGCCCACCAATGCACGCGGCTCCCTCTCCTTACGGTCTCAAAAGCGTTTGTCACTTGTTTGCTTAGTCTTAGCCAGTCTAATTTGGGGGAGATGTGTTTCCAACTTTTCTATTTGCTTTTTGGCTCAATTTCCCTTCCCTTCCCGTGCTCACAGTATCAAGTTTCTCATCCATGGTACCGATTCCCATCTATGTTTCTCCTCTCTTCTCCGGGTCCTGAATTGAGTTTTTGCTTCAATAGTCTGATTGTTTGTATCTGCTTTGCAGTCACTGATGTTTTTTTTTTAAATAAATTCTGAATCTGTTACCCAGTGTTTCATCCATTACCCAGTGTCTTTGCATTTTTTAATTACGATCTTTTAGAAGAATAATTTTTGCCTTGGTTTTTCATGGTTTTTGCTTTTTTCTGTGTTATGATTTATGCATCTATTGGGATGGATATATTTTCTGGTTTTGTGAGTCTCTTTAGTGAGCAGTCTTCACTAGAGGGCCCCAAATCTCGAACCACTCAACATGAAGGTAATAAGTTGTCATAAAAGCAATAACAACACCAGACAAAAATCAGACATCGAAATATACTTAAAAGCAACTGCTAAACCACCAATAGAAAAGCAAATGGCAAAACTAATGAAAGCTTTATTCTGTTGACCTGGTGCTGAGCCCGGCATGGTTGAAGGTCAGCTGCTTTAATCATTTCTTTGTGTACGAGGAACCGCTTCTGACCACGAGCAGCTTTGGTCCCTGCGGGCCAGGCAGGTTCCCATTCAGGGGATTCTTCAGCTTGTACATCTTTGGATTGCTAATGTCTAAGGCAAAGGGGTGTCTCCTGAGGATGTTGGGGTGTGGGAGAGGCGATGAAGCACCGATTGGATTGCTGAAGGACCCAATCTTGCTCAGTATTAAACACCCTACAGTATAGAGTATGCAGTAATGTCCACGGGACCTGAGAACTGCATGGCAAAGAGGAAGCTATGCAGTTCCAGAGCCTTGCTGACTTCTGGCTCAAGGCTATCAATCTCCATGGAGTTACCTGTTTCCAGCCAAAGAAAGCAGGGCCACCAGGCTTCACAGTCCGGGCCTCCTGCAGCTTTCTAAGCATGTCCCTATCAAGTTCTCAGAGGAGCCATCACTGCTACGTGCGGACCCCTCAGTGTTTTCAGACCTGAGCAGTCCGGTCTTAAGCAATATGCCCCCGGCCCTGACGGTTTGGGAACAGCCCGAGTGTAGAGAGTGCCACATGGACTTCTGACTGTGGCGCACCACAAGTCTGTCAAGCCAAATCCCCGGATGGATTTAGGACTTGTGAGAACTCTAAACTTGTTCTGTGTGTAGGACTGACTCTCTTCATACACATATGAAGAAACACATACATGAGTGTGTGTGTGTGTGTGTGTGTGTGTGTGTGTGTGTGTGTGTGTGTGTGTGTGTAGATCGGTAGAAAACTGCTGAGAGTTGGTTCTCTCCAGTGTGGATGTGAGTATCAAACTCAGGTTGTCAGGCTTGGCAGCAAACATCTTTACTCAGCGAGCCATTGCACCAGTCCTGTGCTGGCCTGGCTTACATTGTGGAAGAGTTTTTGGCTCCCTTTCTTCCGCTGGGAGCCTGCTGGACTGGCTCCTCGCTTTTTGCTGCTTAGCCTTTGTATTTCTCCATGCTGTTCTCTGTCTCTGAATTCCTTTGTGTTTTCTCACACCCTTCTATGTTTCCCCTCTTTGCCTAACATCCCTCCCCCTTCCATCTGACTTTTCTCGTGGAATCTCGTGGAATCTCGTGGAAACTGCTTCTAATCTTCCATGTTGGCACACCCCTCACATCGCCCCGCAAAAAGGATTCTTGAGAAATAGTAACGCCATCACAGAGAAAGGCAATATCTTCTGCCATGCATGAAGCTTCTAACCAACATGAGTGTAGAGAATATCTTTCTCCCCCCAAGAAATAGGAAGAAGGACATTGTGTTGAATTATGATGTGATTCCATAGGTTATCACAGTCAAATTCTGTAAGGAACCATTTCTTCACCATTCTGAGCAAGGGGAATGGATATTTCTGACTCCAAATTTGGGGAATACGCATGGAGTGGCCTGTTGCACTAATAGATTTCTTTACCTTTAATCCTGAGCACCTATCACCATGAACTTTTCTGCTATTCCTGTATACAATGCAGATATAAACGTTTAGAAGTTGACCCTTCATTAGATATGAAATTTGGGACAACAACAGCAACAAAAACCCTCAGCTGTGCTCTTGAATGTCACCCACAAACTTGGCATGAAGCCAAGTTTCCCCAGTTCTTTGTTTCATCTCCTGGTGTTGCTTGGATATTAGTTTATCAACACACGGAATTCCTGCGACTGCTGTGTGACTAGAAAACATTGCAAGAAAGCTACCTGGAGTATGCATGTTAGCATTTAAAACAGGGACCCACAGTATAAGGTAAGTTCTTTTTAAGCAAATTTGTCTTTTGGTTTTGGATTTCATTTAACGAGTAGGTTGTTTTTTTCCACGCATTCTCCAGGCATTTTAAGCAAACTTTATCCTGTGTAGACCACTTGAATGGGTAAGATGGATTTCTTCAGCAATAGCCCAAGAAAAAGCATACGTGAGCTGTTGCCACAAGAAACATCATCAGTCATTTTCTCGCACTGTTTGAAGACAGAAGGAATCATTCTAACTTTGAAGAATATTTATTCTTTGCTCTGCAGACCTGGAAAATGGGAGGAGGGATTTTGAAATAATTTGAGTGCAGGAAAGAACGTGGGTTTCAATCAGAGAGAACATGCAAAGAGTATGTCTTGATTGCTACAGATTCCTGGGTGCCCACTAAAGAAAAGTGATATTAAATAAAATATTCATAGTTTTATTTATGAGCTTATATCATGGAAACAGAACACAAAGGGATGCTGACTGATGTTTCTATAATAAATTTCATCTATAGAAGATCCCCATGGCTAGACCTCATATCTGAGCCAATCATAATTCTCACATGTATTGGGATTTTCATTGCGGTTTTAAGACAAGGTCTCCCTATGTAGTCCTGGAGCTCTCTGCAGAGACCAGCCTGGCCTGGAACTCACAGAGACCTGTCTGCCTCTGGCCACCAAATGCTGGGATTAAAGGTGTGCCCCACCACGCCTGGCTGTTGAAATATTTTGAAGAATGTGTATGTGCATGCATGAGCATTCACTGGGGGCAGGTAGAAAGAGATGACGCAGACACCAACTGAGAGCACTGGACTCACGACTCAGTGAATTCAACAAACTATGATGCAGGCAGTATGGCTACCACCATGAAGACGGCAGGAGGGGGTAGCAAGGGAAGAAACTCACGTCTGAGTGGCCATTATTCCAGGTCCTCTCCTCTAGTTACCCAGTGATATAGGTATTGATAGCAGTCTGCTGTATTCCGAGGACCTGTGGCTACACTTGGTTTGTTGTGTCCTTTTTTTCTGTCATCTGTAGTTTGTACTGGTAAGGGCAGAGGAGTGAGCAGAGAGGAAGATGCTCAGGATTTCTATTTGCCTCTGCAACCCTAACCAACACACTCTTTCTTCTCAGACTGTTAGGTTTCCCTTATTGCATAGACCTTAGATTCTAAACCCTAATCCATTGAGAAAGGACATGTTGTCCCTGCACAAACGTCCTTCATTCTGACCTTTGTCAGGCAGGGGAGAGAAACATGATGGAGTCGCAGTTTATTTTGTAGCACTGTGGTGTAAAACTGTAGATCTAAAGGTGCAAGAAACGGATATACTTTGTGTCTGCCAGCAGTTGTATTTTAGGGAACGTTTAATGACCTAGGGGGTTTCATAGCATAGCTGTATTGTGATCACCTTTTCCTAAAATTATTTCTTATTTACTAACTAAATAAATGGAAACTAATCAAATGCCAACAGTATTTAAGGATGGATAATCTTATTTTCTTCTCCAATTTGAATTCTGGGCCCCCCCCCGCGCCGCCCGCCGCCCCCCCTCTCCCCCCCCCCCCCCGCAAACTCGCAAAGACATAGACATTTCTTTTAGAGCCAGATAAGCTTACAGCACTATTTAAAATGGTAAAGAAGTAACTGCTACAGACTGGAATGTCTCTAGAAGATACCCACTCTGGACACAGGGAAGCAGGAAGACAAAGACTCTGGATGATTCCTTCCATCAGAATGAGGGAGGATTGGAAAAGACAGGATGCTAGTAGACTGCAAACATCTCCTTACTTGGAAAATAGGAGAAAATATTCTTCTTCGTGGGGAAAAATATTTACTTATTTGCTTACTAACTGTCTTAGGTCCATCCCAAAGCTGGTCAAACAGGATGAAAACTGATTCTGTGTCTGTTATTCCTTGGAGGTACAAGACAAAGAAAAATGAGGAGAAACTTGAAAAAGCAGTACCAGTCCCAGAATGTTCCACAAATACCTCGCATTCAAGTGTCTGCCTCTGCTGTTGACAATTCATTACTGAAGGTGCCACATCTTGTTGGAAGAGGGATGCCTGTTCTTCTTTCTTTGGAGGGTTGAGGACTTTTTTCGACTGTCTGTGTGGGAAGTGGGTATTGTCTGATCCCGCAGTAAGTACCTACTGAAGGAGTGAATGAAGGTGGACCTGGACAGCCTAACCCTAAACACCCACAATGGCTGGAGTCTGAGAAGCGGTCTTCTCCTTTCTTGGCTGTCCCACCACCATGGGAACTCACTTAATTGGCAACATCAACATCGTGGCTTCCTGCTTGAGATGTCTTTCCCACCAAGCTAATTATAGCCATTCACACAGGAACTCTCTGTAGCGATTTCATTTTTCTTCCATCTCTTCCAAGAAAGATAGGAGGCAATGTAAGAATATGAGAAACGGAACCTGCTACTGGCTTCTCATTTAGGATGTTTAAAGTTTTACACAGGCAAGGAAGTAGGCATAGTTTTTCTTGATAAAATAAAAACTGTAACTTTCAAGATTTTTTTTTTTTGATCTGATGTAAGGAAAATTCCCATTGTACTGGGGAGCTTTGCTGTTGAAGTGGGCCAGCAATTTTCCTATTATCTTGTCTGCAATCATATGAAAGGCTTAATTAGTTACTCAGGGATGAAATCCATTCTCTTCTTCAAATGTATTATCCCCAAGCATACATAATATAGAAACTGGGAGTGAATTGATGTCTTGCATTGTGAGGCTCTTGGCCTTGCTACTTTTACTTTTAATATCAAATTAAAAGGCTCTAGACTTAAAATCAAATTGTCTCACAGATTTCAGATTTTAGTCCCACCCAAAATGTCTAACCAGTAAGTCGCCTTAGCCTATGTGTAGATGTAAAAGTGTAAGAGCAATTTCCCCACATGGTTTCCAGTTGGCTTTGAAACTTGTCTCCTGGGTATTTTGTATCCAGGACAAACTTATTTTAACTTGGCTTTTCTAGAAGGTTCATGCCATTATCACAGTTTCCCCACTTATTTTTGAGACAGGGTTTCATGTAGCCCAGGCTGGCCTTCAACTTACTATGTGGTTAAGAAGGACTTCAAACTTCTGATCTTTCTACCGCCCCCTCCCTCTCTCGCTCTTTGAAACAGGATCTCACTATGTAGCCCTGCTGACATAGAACTCACTGGTAGATCAGGCTGGCCTTGAACTTGAAGTGCTCCTATGTCCCCTGCCTCCTAAGGGCTGGCATATACCACCATGCCTGGTTCCTCTGTTCCCATGGCCCTTTTTTTACTGCCAATGTTAATCTCCTAGCACATTGTCTACTTGGTTGTCTGTCCCAGTTCCTTACTGGGAACTTCCATTGAACATCTCAGCTCTCTGGAAGCCTCCATCCATCAGGCCCTGTATAGATTCCCACAACCTATTTTTCTCAATAAAGATCACTAGAATCCTCACATCCTGGAAGCATTTATATCTCCTTCAGTATACAGTTATGACTTAGAGTACCTAGAACCTTCTCCTTCCCTGTCATCCACACCTTTTCCTTCATCGTCATCCAGACATGGAGAAGATTGTTTACCCAAATGGTGAAGGGAAATTTCCTGATTATTCATGCCCCAGGCTCCTTAAAAATATGTGTCATCTTAAGAGAAGTGTCTTATTCCTGTGGACACTAGTTTTGAATGTGTTACACTTTTTAATTACATAGGGGTTTATCAAAGTCACCTCTTTGTTCTAACAGGACCTAAATCAAGGGCAGAGACGCTACTTCTACAGCATCATGAGGATTTATGACTCCAGGTCCCAGTGGAAGGCCCTGCAGACCCGATACATTCACAGCCTTGGGTACCAGCAGCAGCTGGGTGAGTTTAACTACCTTACCAGAACCAGGCATATCAGCAGGGAACTTTTCATTATAGCCAGAAATCACATCTCCAGATAAATAATCCAAGAAGAATGGCCTCTGCCGACCTATTTTATCAACATGGTTGGCTAGCCAAGTTTAAAAATGATTATCCCTGACAATAGACAGTGAAGTTTTATAGGTGAATTAAGAGGGTTTAAAGAAATTAGAGTATGGATTCTTATAAAATGTTAACAACTCTCTGAGATTTATATGAACTTGATCTAGTAGATCAATACACTGGACTTGGAAAGCCAACATAAGCTGAAACAATGGCTCCCCTCCTTCCTGTTTGTGTAAGATCAAAGACAGTTTACTCCCAACAATAACAACTATGTGTTTCAGCATTTGGCATAGCCCCTACATCCTGCCAAGGGCATTATGTTCAATATAGTTACAGAACCAGGATCCCACACAAATTCTGTAATTTGATGAAGACCATTCAGTCAGCCATCGTCAATGAGGACTTCAGGCAAGAGGTGACTTCTCCAAAGACCATGGCTTCCATCTGCTCATACTTTGCTTTCTCCCTTTCTACCAAATCCACTCACATTTTACAAAGCTCAGATGAAACCATGGTTTCAAAAGACATGAACACATCATGAGCATCAACCTGCTGGGAGGCTTCATGGCTGTCAATCCTTTATCCTACAGGAACACCTCTAATTGCTTGTCCCCTCCATGCACAGTCCTCCCAACTCAGGTAGAAAATTAAAACCCAGATGAGTTAAATAACTTTACCACAGTCATAAAACTAGTAAATGAGGACCTAGAGTTTGGTGATTACTGAAGAGTGTCTGAAATATGGTGGAAGCACCATCTGGTGGTTTTGTTTTCGGAGCCAAATGCCAAAGAAGCCAATAAACTTAAACACAGAGGCATTTAGTAATGTTCATAAAATCTAATTATCATCTTACTAAAATGCAGATTCCCATGCCTTGCTTTCCGGGCTTCCATTTCAGAAGGTCTTTGAAGAGAGTAGAGTTTTGAATTATAATGGGATTTTTTTTAAAGCACACTTATTCAGAGCATCTAGTAGGTACAGTGAAGTCTGTATTTTGAGAAACATTGAACGAAATCATTTTTATCTTTTTAACCAGAGAATATCTTTCTCTGAATTGAAGAAAGTTTTGATAACTAAGGTAAGTCACATGAGAAGGCTACTCATCACTCAAGTTTCTTTCCTAATGTCTCGACATGCTAGCTGGTGACTATAGTAACTTGTGTTACTTAGCTCTTCTCATTCATGTGACAGAATATCTTACAGAAACCACTCTGGTTAGGAAGGACTTATTTTGGCTCATGGTTTCTAGGGGTGTCAGTCCATCATGACATGGAAGGGGTAATACAGGACTGCTTTTCACATCCTGACAGCCAGGAAGAAGGGAACAGAGAGTATGGGTACTCACCCACATTCAGGAAGGGGCTCCCCTAGTTAATCTTCTCTAGAAATAACCTTCACAGACACACAAGGTGTGCCTCAACAGTCTTTAGGTCAATCAGGTTGACAGTGAAGATTAACCATCGTGCCCACTGAAGGAAAAATGCAAAATAAAAAATAAACACTTCCTCTCCTCAAGGATAGTATAACCAGGGAATGCTAATCATGGAAGTAGAACTTTTGTTTGCCTCTGTGAATATTTTTGTTCCATAAAATTATTGAGTTGAAGAGATGGCTCAGTGGCTAAGAGTACTTGCTGTTCTTGCAAAGGACCTGGGTTCATTTCCCATCACCCAATTGGCTGACAACCACCTGCAAGTCCAGCTCTAGGAGGTCTGTCACCCTCTTATGGCATCTGGGGACAGCAGGCACACATGTGGAGTACTCATACACATAAAACAAAAACTAAATAAACCTTTCAAAGAAAAATACTGACCTTGAAATTCCTCTCATTTCTTTGTTCAGGCTATATCACTCAGCAGGAGGCCTTGTCTTGTGCTGCTCTGCTTAGACATTCAACCATGCAAGCCTCAACCAAGGTAGATCCTCAAAGGACCATTCCCCGAAACTCTTCAGCCACGCAAAGAAAATGCCGTCCAGCAAAACCAGAGTCTAGAGTTACACCCAGGGCCTCCAGCACAGCACACTGAGCAAGCATCAAGACCCGAGGCTATGCATAATCTCTAAAATAGATAGCTTATCTGTGTATTCCTGGCAAGTGGGGGCTTGGTATATGTTTGTTGTATGATAATGAATAAAATAATACTAATATAAACTCCAGACCTACACATAATCCCATCTTCATATAAATGTCGCCAACAAGAAGAAGAAGTTGGAAGATTTGCAATCTATAGAGCAGATAATAAGCAAGGTTTATCACATATAATCTGTAAAATAAAGGGGCTTTCAAAGCTTTCAAAGTAAAAGCTGCTTATGAGTTCCAGTGTCCCAGTGAAGTCTCAGGGGAGTAGAAGGGGACAAGTGACTGGACCCCTCTCCCTGGGTGACAGCTGCTGGCAAGCTGCCCATTGCACACCTGAAAATACACGAAGCCACACAGTCAGTGACGAGCGCCACATGCCTCTTCCTACCTTTATCTCCACCAGGCAATGAGATTCACTGTGGCCCTGCAGTTTCTGGTTCTCTTGACTCAATCACATTTCTGTCATTTTTGAAATCTGTGTTCTTCAGTCTGCTACTGCCAGGCTGATTCTCGACAGCTGTGATTGACCTTGACATGGGTAAGCTAATTCATGCACACACCTGCCCCTGGCAGTAACAAACGCTCTCAGCAGAACAGAAAACAGCCCCAAAGAATTGATCTCAAGTCTTGTCTTTGAAGATCTTAAGAACTCGTACAAGACCATGCAAATGAGCAGATAATGAGAAACGGCCAGTCCGGTTTCTCTGCAAACGGCACAGTGTCATATTAGATATGTTTAATAATGACTTTCTTCACCAGTTTTTCTCTTGTGTGTGCCAAAAATTAGTGATCCTATACAGTCAAATTAAAAACTGTCACTTCCTTATCTTTATTTTTTAATGCCATTCATGTCAGCCAATGAAGAAATTGTTGAGATAGACCTTATTTCACAAGAGAGATTGAACATTAATTTGAAAAGAAGTTGTTACAATACCAACACACACCCTTTCCAGCCAAAACCCAAAATAACAACAACAAAACAAAATTCCCTCATTGATAATTGCCTTCTCTCTGCAGCCATTAACATAAAAGATATGAAATCAGTCGAAGGCTTCTAAAGAGCCTCAATTGTCGGGTCTCCGATTCCACCTGACGTTTCTTTGGATGGTGTGAGGGGCATGGTTGTCCCACCTGTCTGTCAGGCAGTCTTGGGAAAGCAGGAACAACCTCTGACCAGATGGAGACGATGCTGCTATGGCTCGTACTGTCCATCATCAGTGTGGAGAGACTAAGGGGCCATTTGCCTAATCATGAAGCAGCTTCTTGAGCACCCTGACACTGATTCAAGTACTCTGTGTAGATCACACTGTTATATTAGGGGTTGTTAGGTAGCTTTTCAAAACCCCATACAACTGGGGTGAGCTGTGAGGTAACCCTCCTAAGAGGTAGAGGATGATGGCTGCCCTAACAGTCCACATTAACCTTCCCCTGTTTCCACTCCCAGCCTTTTATCTCTGTGAACTGCTGACGTGCACTTTATCATGGGCTTTTTGCACCTTGGTTGGCCTAGGTACCTGCTGAGTCAGCGTCAGCTCATGGTACAGAATAACAGGAATAACAAGCATGGAGGATGCTGCAACCTTGTATCAAAAACTCTCGGGAGCGTTTGTTCCAACAGAGGCTTTTACAATCCTATGGGCAGGTGAATGTCACCGGCCCGTAAGAAGGACAAATTAATAGATGTAAACTGGTGCAGGATCCCTTCTTGCTGATTCCCCCTTCTGAGAAGATAATGTTTCCTCTAAAGCTAGAGCCCCACATTTCAAACTTGTAAAGATGTGGTAGCTTAGGGAGCTTAAAAAAAAAAGATGCTCACCGAAAAGGACACTGAGAAAGATAATCAAGGAGGTAGAAAGGGCACACGAAGGTTTTAGGTAACCCTAGTGCTTTGACCAATTGGAGACTGTGCTGCTCTGGCTCACAATGATCACCATCAACACAGGGATTTCAAGGAACCATTTTATCTAAAATTGCTGATACCTGAAAGAGACCCTAACTGTGGAAAGCTGTCCATAATGCTTGTTGAACAATACGGATGTTTTCAAAGTCTGCTATCAGACTGGCCTCCCTCTGGGTTTGGGATGTACTTCAAGGGTCCCAGGAAGCTACACAACTGGGGAGGCCTGGCAGTGGTTATCGGGGAGAAGTGATCAGAACAGTTCCTCCAAGGTGCAGGCAATAGCGGGCAGCAAAGCATTTTCAAAAGGTAATAAAGGTAATACAGCCAGGCAAAGTTGGTCTCCATTTTATAATTGCCACAAGACAGTCAGGGACAGAATGTGCTCCCCGCTCCTTCCTTGCTATCAATCCTAAACAATTGCTAAGGGAACACGAGTTCTGGGTTTTAATTATCCTTCTTGTCTCTGTTGGGAAGAGTCTGGAAAACTTCTTGTGTTATGGTTCAGACATCGTTTGATTGTACTGAATGGGACCTGTGTTGGGAGTTTTGTCCTCAGTGTGCTGATGTGTGGAGATGGGACAGAGCTGTTGTGATGTGGAGCCCCACAGGTTTATGGGGAGTTATGGGAGGCATCACTCTCAGGGGACTTGATGTGGCTCTTATGAGACCCCAGGTCGTCCTCAGGAAAAGCCCAGCAGTTGTAAGACAGCAATTCTGATGCTTCCTTGTCCCTCTTGGTGAGCAGCCATTTTGTAAATATCCAAGTGTTCTTAGACAATTGTATATTCTCTCATGGACGACTGTGGAAATAGAACATTATGTCCAATAAACCATACTCAGTAATTTTTTGAATATGCTCAAATGCACAATGGCTTCCCTGTTTGATCTCTCCTCTCCTCTCCTCTCCTCTCCTCTCCT